GCCAATCATCAGCTGGCAGTCTGAAGGGCAGGGAAACAGCCCAATGAACATCACCACAGAGGAGCCAATCAGCTAGATGTTGCTGGGGCCACTGTGAGCCAATCATCAGCCGGCAGCTGGGAGTTTGCTGGCAGCTGGAAGTTTTCTGGGGCCCCTTTGGCTGTGGCTCTCAACACTTTGGTTGTATGCAATATAGCATTGCACCATAATTTGCAGTCCTACATGTACCTAGGGTAATGATGTCCATCTCATTCCACCATCTTTCCTTCCCCCATGTCCCAATCCCTCCCCTTTGCTCAATCAAAGTTCCTCCATTTCCCCCAATCCCTCCCCACATTATGGATCAGCATCCATTTATCAGAGAGAACATTCAGCCTATAGTTTTTTGGAATTGGCTTACTTCGCTTAGCATGATATTCTCCAACTCCATCCATTTACCTGCAGATGTCGTAATTTTATTCTCCTTTAATGCTGAGTAATATTCCATTGTGTTTACATGCCACAGTTTCTTTACCCATTCGTCTGTTGAAGGGCATCTAGGTTGGTTCCACAGTTTTGCTATTATGTATTGAGCTGCTATAAACATTGATGTGACTGCATCACTATAGTATGCTGATTTTAAGTCCTTTGGGTATAGATCCAGGAGTGGGATAGCTGGGTCAAATGTGGTTCTATTGCAAGTTTATAAAGAATCTCCATAGTGCTTTCAAGATTGGTTGCACCAATTTGCAGTCCCACCAGCAATGTATGAGTGTACCTTTTTCCCCACATCCTCACCAACACTTATTGTTGTTTGTATTCATAATAGCTGCCATTCTGACTGTTGTGAGATGAAATCTTAGAGTAGTTTTAATTTGCATTTCTTTAATTACTAGAGATTTTGAACATTTTTCATACGTTTGTTGATTGATTATATATCTTCTTCTGAGAAGTGTCTGTTCAGCTCCTTAGCCCATTTATTGATTGGATTGTTTGTTTTTTGGTGTTTAGTTTTTTGAGTTCTTTATATATCCTGGAGATTAGTGCTCTAACTTCAAAGCTATAGTAACAAAAACGGCATGGTATTGGCACCAAAATAGACATGTAAACCAGTCGTACAGAATATAAGACACAGAGACAAACCCACATAAATACAGTTATCTCATACTAGACAAAGGTGCTAAAAACATACATAGGAGAAAAGATAGCCTCTTCAACAAATGGTGCTGGAAGAACTGGAAATCCATATGCAGCAAAATGAAACTAAACCCCTATTTCTGACCATGCACAAAATAAACTCAAAAGTGGATCAAGGACCTAGGAATTACACCAGAGACCCTGCGCCTAATAGAGGAAAGAGTAGGCCCAAATCTTCATCATATCGAATTAGGCCCCAACTTTCTTAACAAGACTCTTAAAGTGCAAGAAATAAAATCAAGAATTAATAAATGGGATGGATTTACTAAAAAGCTGCTTCTCAGCAAAAGAAACAAGGAGGAGAAGAGAGAACCTACGTTTTGGGAGCAAATTTTTGCCACATGCACCAACTCCAGTTTTAATGCTATGGGGGATCTTCAGGAAAGGCTGACACTTTGACCTTGGAGCTGTGTAGGCCCAGGTTTTGGAGACCCTAAAAAAGATTGGATGGGAGCTGAAGGAACTGCAGTTCCAGCTGCTTCCCCACGCCAACAAATAAGCTCAGATCAGCAACAAGATGTTCATGTTCCACAGTGTGACCTGCACCAACCTTCAAACTAAAAAATATGACTACTCCTTTCAGGTGTCAGGCATAGTGTCTCCTGTGGCCCTCACTACCCAGAACTRTACAAGGAAGGGAACTATAAGTCCAGTTCATCTGAGTTGACATAATACAAAGCCACCAGAACTCTAGTCAATTGATTTTTGTATTTATGTGTGAATTTGTTTTTATTGGTTTGGGAAATGTCACTATGGGGTATGACCTTTCTGTACCAGGAATGCTCATTCTAATCATCCTAAGACGGTTTTTGGAACTTTTTTTCTTTTTATTGGCACTGCTCTTGCCACCAGCAGCCTCTTCAGGCCCACTGCTGACCTGCTCCTCCTAAGAAGAGAATTTCCTCCTTTTCTTGGAGATGCTCCTGCTGCTTGCCTCTTTTGGATCACTACCTGTTTCCTCCTTGGACAAAGATTTCTTCCTTTTGGGAAGACTTGTGCTGCCAGCTGCCTCTGCAAGAAAATTGCTATTTTTCATCCTTTAGTAAAGTTAGGTAGTTTTCTTCATATACATTTCCTGTTTAGTTTATTCCTTGATGTTTGGACTTGTTTTTATTGTAAATATTTATGTTCCCATTTTTTCTTATGATTATTTCTGGCCTATTGAAAATCATTTTGGTATTTATCTTGAATTTTCCATGTTTTTTCAACTTATATTCCAACAGTTTTCAATTGGTCCTCCTGGAGGGCAGTCATTTCACCTGCAAACTAATCTTTTTTTCTGATAATGTAATAATGTGTTTTTTTCTTATCCCCCCCCATTGCCTTGATTAAAGTTGCCAGAACAGTGTTATAACAGCTATGCTGTTTTTAACTTTTAAGGTAATATTTCTAGTTTTTCATCATTTTGGTTTCTAAACTAAGTGGTCTTAACATTTTTGGTAAACCAGCAGTTCTCAATGTTTAGTGAACATAGAAATTATCTAGAATACATACTTGCTTAAAATGCAAATTCGCAGGAATGGATGTTAAATTTTACTGAATGCCTTTCAACTAACCATATATAATACCTTGTACATTACAGGTACAGTATATGATAATTTTTCATTTGTTGATTCAACAAATATTTAGCACCTAGTATAGGCTGAGGATATGGAAGTAAACAAAGTAGACAGAGTCCTTATTCTCTCTTTTCTTTTCAGAAATAATTTTACAAGCATAAACACTTGAAAGACAAGTCTTTTGAGTCCAAAGGTATTACTTGTACACTGTTTATATTTACATTTTTTGAGCTAATTAGGCTACTGCATTCTCTCTCTCTCTCTCTCTCTCTCTCTCTCTCTCTCCCTCTCTCTCCCTCTCTCTCCCTTCTCTCCCTCTCTCTCTCTCCCTCCCTCCCTCTCTCTCTCTAAGGATTAAACCCAGGGGTGCTTAATCACTGAGCTAAATCCCCAGCTCTTATTATTTTTGGTATTGAGACAGGGTCTCACCAAGTTGCTGAGGCTGACTTTGAACTTGGGATCCTCCTACCTTAGCCTACTGGGCCTCTGGGATTATAGGTATGCACTACCGTGCCCCACAGTTGTACCTTTTTTTGACTGCTTGATTAAATTTATGTTTTACTGCTTTATTGATAGGTAAACTCCTCTGACCTTATATATAACTTATGTAATTTTGTATAATGTTACTATGATATGAATTTTTTATCCTTTTTAGTTCTACTTAATCATTTTTGCCTTGAATTATGTTTGATATTAATATTACCACTGTTGCTTTATTTTGTTTTGTTTTTTCAGACATGTTTTTTTCTCATTTCTATATGTAAATATTATTAAGATTTTTCATTTGAGGTTTTCTCTTATGATTAGTAACAGTGGCTGTTTCCTTTTGTTCTAGTCTAATTATATTTGCCTCTTTATAGAGAAATTTAACAAATTAACATTTGTCCAAGTATTTATAGTTGATATCTTTGGTTCCTATTGCTTTTGGAGGGAGCTGGAAAAGGAGTAAGGTTTTCTTTTCTTTTTTTTTTTTTCTTTTCATTTTGTATTGATCAAGTTTTCTTTATTTCTCTTGCACAGAGATTCAGAACATCTATTCTTCAACCCCGTCGTCCCCTAAAATCATACACAGGTGTTATAAAAGGTAAAAACTCTTAAAATTCATGATTGTCACAAAAGTAACAGTCYTACAGTCATGATCCTTTTCTCTCAGAGCTCTATAAATGTTTCTCCATAATATACTGTCACTTAGGGATGATAATGATCACRTTCTGTTTCTTTTGCAGGTGGCTTTTTTGTTTTGACAGAATTTCTGAGGGTTTTTTTTTCTTTCATTACTCAAATCTTTGTCTTTTTATTTTCTCCCTATACTTTGGAAAAATTATTTGAATGTGTTGTTATTAACTTATTCTGGTTTTTTTTTTTGAAACATTCATTCTACTGTTCATTGCTCCTGTTGAYTTTTTAATTGGTCAGGTTTTTCATTTTTCATAATTTCTTATTTTCCGATTGTTCCTTTTTCATGAAAACCTGCAGTTTTTCATTATCAATATATTTTGTTGGCGTATATCTAACTTTCATGCAATTAACTATTTATTTATTTATATGTTTAAAATGGTATTCTATGGACATTTAATCTCTCTCTCTCTCTCTTTATTTGTTTATTTAATTTATATGTGGTGCTGAGAATCAAACCCAGTGCCTCACACATACTAGGCAAAGCGCTTTACCACTGAGCCACATCCCCAGCCCAATTCTATATATTTAAAATATACAGTTTGAAACATTTTGAYGTCTGCATTAAACTATGAGTCCAGAAACTTCACCCCAATCAAGATGAGTGTACACGTCTCTCCCAAAGTTTCCTTTTGCTTCTTTTTAATCCTTGTATTCATGTCCCCAGGAAACAACTAACCTGCATTTGTCACTATGAATCAGCTCACATTTTCTAGAATTTTATGTAAATGGAATCATACTATGTGCTCTTTTAAAAACATATTTCTAAATGAAAATTTTAAACATACAGAAAAGTAGAGAACAGTAGCAGAATAATGAACTACACTACACCCATTCCCTAGATTTAACAATTATAATGTTTGCTTCATTTATTTTTTAAATTAATAGATTTTAAAATTCATAAATTAATATATTTTAAAATTAATTACTGTTATTTTTAAATTACTAGGACTTTATAAACCTAAATAGCAGCTCTTAATTGACAGAAAAAATTAAGCAGACATTGCAGAAAGTTCCAATATACTCCCTTTTCTACTGTACACATTTTGGTACATTTGTTATAACTAAAGAACCAACATTGGTACATTATTAATGACTAAAGTCCTTAATTTTCTTTAGGGTTCATCCTTTAGGTTATATCGTTTTGTGGGGTTTAACTACATAATTTTGTTTTGGCTTCTTTCACTTACTATAATTATTTTGAGATTCAATTCTGTTTTATGTATATCACATTTCTTTTTATTCCATATTTTATTAAGTTGTTTACTTGTTGATGAACATTTGTGTTGTTTCTAGTTTGGAACTAATGCAGATAAGATTGTTATGAACATTCATTTAATAGTCTTTCATTTCCCTTGAGAGAATGCCTAGATGTGGAATGACTGGGCCATATGGTAGAAATGTGTCATTTTTTGAGATTTTGGAAAAAATTTTTCAAGGTGCTGGTACCATTTTTTTCCCCCCACTATCAGTGTTTGAGAGTTCTGGGTGATTCATACCTGTAATACTAGCTACTCAGAGGCTGAGGCAGGATGATCACAAGTTAGAGACCAGTCTGGGCAACTTGGTGAGATTCTGTCTCAAAAAATAAAAAGGGCTGGGGATATAGTTCAGTAGCAGAATGTCCCTGGATTCAATCCCTAGTACCTCCAAATAATAATAACAACAATGACTATTATTATTATTATTATCATTATTATTATTATTAATAGAATGGTAAACTGCAAGAACTAGGGAAGTTCTGAGAAACCTGCAATTGGACCTAAGGACTTGATGTTCTCATAATTCTCTTAGCTTTTTCTCTTTTTGTTTCTTCTGGATTTTATTTTCCTGTGCTGTTTCATGTATTGGAGTCTGTGGCCTCCAAGAAGAGGAATTTTTCCCACCAGCTTTACTTAGGAAAATTCTGAAGTGAAGTCTGATAGGCCCAGCTTGGGTAACCCTCATCTTTACATTGTCACTCTTTTAAAGGAGATAAGGAACTCAATTGATAAACTCTGGAATTTAGGTATAATGATACACAGTTTTCCCAAAGAGAGGGGACTCTGTTGTCAAAAGAAGTATGGGAAGTAGTTATTAAGTACTCAGACACAGTGCATATCCAAGATGTCATAACATTCTCAGAAACAGAACTATTTGATGACTCCAAGGTAATAGATTACAGTCAGTGGGCTTTGTGAAATTCTCCTTGTTATATACTACCATTTAAACTATTGTTCCCAGGGCTGGGGCTGGGGCTGGGGCTCAGTGGTAGAGCACTCACCTAGCATGTGTGAGGCCCTGGGTTTAATCCTCAGTACCACATAAAAATAAATAAACAGAATAAAGGTATTGTRTCCATTTACAACTAAACAAAATATTTTAAAATAAATAAAAAATAAACTGTTGTTCCTGTGAAACTAATCTATTATACTTGGGCCACATGACATATTGTATACAACATGTAAGAAATGCTAGTTTTTACCACTTGGTTTTTATATTTGTGAAGTTATGCTGATATTCTGTTTAAATATAATATGACAGTCTGTAGTCTTCATTAATATTTGTCTTTGCTTTTTATTTTAGGGTACTAGAAATGAAAACAAGAATATACTGTTTGTTCCTAATGGCTTTTAGTATATATTAACATATTTTTTATGATGGCATCTGAGACTGAGAAGACTCATGCTTTATTGCAGTCTTGTAGCACTGAGTCTCTTATTTCTAGCCTTGGTCTGGGGATATTTTGCTTAGTAGCTGACAAACTTCTTCAGTTTTCCATAATCCAACAAAATGACTGGCTTCGTGCCCTCTCAGATAATGCAGTACATTGTGTGATTGGCATGTGGTCATGGGCAATAGTCATTGGAATCAAGAAGAAGACTGACTTTGGAGAAATCATTTTGGCTGGATTTTTAGCCTCTGTTATTGATGTGGACCACTTTCTTCTAGCTAGATCTCTGTCTTTAAAGGTAAGAAGCATGTTTAATTTTTCTGGCCTTTTCCTTTAATTTATTTTGTACTTTGCAGATTTCTTCATAGCATGAAAACTAAAGAGCTAGAGAGCGTATTTTAAAATGTCTAGAGCTAGAGTCTTATTTTATAGTAAGAAAGCTCATTCATTCAGCTTTTTTGAGTACTTTTAGTACTTCCCCTAAAAATGCACACAGGCATGTTGATAATCAGATTATTTGCCACTACAAAGTGCCATGGATGCACATAGAGTAAGGATCCTCTAATTATACCTGAGAAGTTCAGTGTTAGCTTACAAGGGATGTAATAGCAAACTAATTAACAGGAATCATTTTCGGTTCTTTTTGCATCAGTGACCTTTCTTTAGGACTACACTTAAATTTTTCCCCTTATTCTTCATGTTTTACAGTTAATGTGCAGCTCCTAAATGCGCCATGGAAGTTGAATAGTTTATGGTGGTTCTCAGTCCTGGAGAATGACTTGAATGGATTCATTCCTTCAGTCCCTCTTGGGACCAAAGGCATGCATATCAATGAACTGTCTAAAATACAGTGGAGGATAATATTATCTAATAATGTCTAGTGGAGATAATGTTGTCTAAATGTCAGATTTGCCTATCCTTGGCACGTTTATGACCTATAAACTTTCAGGAAACAAATATAGACTCATAAAGCAAGAACTTTGCTTCAGAAGCCACTGACCTAGAACAGTACCTGGATCACCTAGTAGGTGTGTTGAGTAAATATTTGTAGAATGAATGAGAAAGTATTACTCTTCCTATTATGTATCAAATACCAGCTATTTCTCAGAAATAACTTACTTAGAAACTTACTCAGTAAGGAATTCAGTAATTATCAATTAAAAACGAAATTTAACTTATTTTTTTTTTGCTCTAAGTAGAGGCAGCATAACATTTTTGCTTAAAATTGGAATCAGAAGATTTGAGTTTGAATCCTTGTTGTGTGAAGTTAGCAGAGCACTTTTGTTCTTTAAGTTTTCATTCCTTCATCTATAAAATGTAAATTATACTATTATTTACCTCATGGGGTTGTTGTGAGGGATAAATGAGCGTGTTGAATGTCATGGCCTGGTAAACAGCCAATAATAAATGTTAGCAGAGATAGGGATAAGCTATGAAGCTTTATAGAAAATGTAATTCATAAACGCATTCTTCTGGAACTTATCCTGTTTTAATTTTGAAAAACATTTGTTTAATAAATATATTTTAAAAGTTCATTTAGAAGTACTAGTTTGGGGCTGGGGTTGTGGCTCAGCAGTAGAGTGCTCACCTAGCACGTGCCAGGCTCTGGGTTTGATCCTTAGCACTACATAAAAAATAAATAAATAAAATAAAGGTATTGTGTCCAACTTCAACTAAAAAATAAATATATTTTTTTTATAAAAACAAGTACTGGTTTCATGAATTCATGAGATATAGAGTCAAATCCAGTACCAAATCCCAGCTTTGCTATTAACTGCACAACATGGAAGAAGTTCTTGCCTTTTCAAGTCTCCATGTCCTCTAAAATACCACCTAACTCATAGGGTGGTTATGAGGATTAAATACGATTATGCACAAAACCTATAGCATAGTATTACATTGGTCTATTGAATGATGTTTTAGAATTTTTTTTCACATTCACTGTCAGGTGGCACATGATTATCAGCAATAAATATCAAAACTCAGTAAGTATTCATGACAGTGATCTATTTTTGCCTCTATGATAGGCCATTTTCTTCCTTTTCTATTCATGAGAATCTACACTGACATTTCAGAAATCAGACAAGCAACAAGAATATATTGAGGTTGTTTTAATCATCTTCTTATATTCATAAATAAAAATGTGAAAAATCAGTACCCCTCAGCACAGATCCAGAGCATAACCATGAATCATCTCAGTGTCAGGTTATTGGTTTTTGAAATACTTACTGTAAGCTGCTTGACCCCACCCTGCCAGTGAAAATCATGTGCTTCCTGTTAAATGTCTTATCGGTCTTTTCAACAACGCCATGATTAATCTTTTACTAACAAGGATTACAAACTTACCTTTTCTTATTATAGTGCATGAAAGTGCTCTGTGGTGGAAGGAAATKAATTGATTTAGATGTGAAGTTTTCTATAGAAGTTCTCTTAAACCCATCAGAAACTGTGTTGTTCATCTGAACTTTATTCAGAAATAAGGTTCTGATAATGATCATGTGTGGTTTTCTGTACAGTATACTTTATTTTCACATCGGAAAGATTACAGCTTATCTACTTGAAATAATCCTGCTACCATAAAATCTATCATTTTCCTATGTATATTGCTTTTAATGAAAGTTTTAGAACACTGTTCAAATTTAGTTAGCTGATTATCTATTCAGAAGTCTTTCTGTCTGGTTCTCAAAGCATAAAAGAAAAGATGTACCTCTAACAGTACACACACACACACACACACACACACACGTTGTTCACTCTTGTGCTCTTTGTAATTGCAGAGTACTAGAAAGAATGATATAACTACAACAAGATCTTTACTATTTTATTCCTCAAACTTTATTTTGGTTTACACTTTTTGAAATCTCTTTAGTTGGGAATATAATTCATCTACTTTTGTTATATTACTTTTACTGATAGGGAGTTAAGGTTATAAAGTTTTTCTAATTGTACTTTAAATGTATTCCATGGTTTCTACTTTGAAGTTTTTTTGTGTGATTAGTTTTTTTTTTTTT